TAAAATAAGTATTTGCGTCCATCAGCTAACTATCTGAGGACTGGCCCTTTAAATGCAAAGCCAGGAGAGAAAGATATTCAAGCAGACCCCACCCAACCATCCTGTCCACTACACATCACAGCAATCAGAACTTCTTTTTGGTTGCTTCCACATTGCTTATCCATTGGCTTTGCTGCTCCCATTGAAATCATCAGTGCTGCAACCCATCCTCTACATTACATTCCAATAGTCTCGAGTTAAGCCCAGACAGCCCCAAGTTCAACCATAAGTCTCTCATCTTTACTGCACCTGCACTGATCTATTCATTCCCCTCCAAGTCCCCAAAATCTGTTAAATAATCTAAGATATATATCAATTTGCTCTAAACCAGTTCTTCTCCTACATCCTCAGCCTTCGGTGGTGCCAAACACCACTATTTGCTTCTCACGGTAGCTACTGTAAAACTCTTCTATTTCCTTCAAGATTTAGCCTTACATCATTTGAGAAGACACCATTACAACTCTTGGAGAAAGTGAGCATGGTATCTTTGTGCCCACAGCATCCTAGAAGAGATGGGGCTGAGGCAGTGATCTTTGAGTTTTGGTAGTAGATCTTACAAACGTCTAAGAAATACCAGCATGAATGCCACTGTGAGGGCTTCAAGAGGGAATGATGATTTAAGAGAGCTGAGGAGTTCCTAAAACTGTAAATCTCATTACATAATTGCAAATCATTCCAGAGAGGAAGCCAATGCAGCTCTTTGGTTATTCTGGACAAGAGTCCACTACCAAATATTAAAAGTACTAAGTATGCTGTGATTTATGACAAAAAGCACTGGTCCCTAAATGCCAGCAAGGGCTCACTAAGACTACCTTTGGGGTTTTGACAGAATTACAAGCCTAATAATTCACAAAAGGTGGTAGATATATTGTCAAGAGAAGTCAAGTGATACCCCTGACAATTCTAACATCAAGACAGAAAACAGTTATAACAACCATGGGTCTCCAAACTGTAAAGGCCTCTAAGCTTCCCTTAAGTTGAGTTAGTTGCCAAAGTGGCACAGGGAATGCCAGAGAGGCAATTACAGCACATGGCTTCCTTATGGATCCTCCCAAAGCTACTGATGTCACACATGTACTCTATGAATGTTCAGATTCTTTTCAATCCTTTTGTTAAATGTCAGTACCTCCTAACACTGACATCCTCCACCTGATTTGTACACTTGTCTCATGCTGTTACAGGTATTGATCTTAAAGTCATGGAACTCTGGGTTCCACTCTAAATTCGCCTTCATCCTTCTGAATTTCCTAGTAAGCCTGGCTGCAGACCTCAGAGTCACCTTCATTTCTACGTAATCATCTGACCAGCCTTTTCCTAAGGTATCTTTGATCAAAATGAACACATGGCCAAGTGAAGTATCAAATCAGCCAATGCAATCCAAACAGTATCAGAGCTGCAGTGATGAACTTATTAGAAGCTATGAGAAGGAAGGACTTCCAGAAGGAAGTCTGGAGTCAGAGAAGACTTTCTGAGTAGCCAAATGAGTTGAATTTAAAAGCTAAGTATTTCACCCACAGGTGAAAGTCACTGTTAGGAAGTATGTGTGCAAAAACTTGGAGCCATAAGCAGACAGTGTCATCCAGGGACGTAGCAAAGGACAAGGGATCAATAAAGGCTATGGTGGAGCCATATGGGAGAGCAACTAAGGCTGCTCTCGGGACATTGTGTTTAAACGACCACCAGTATCTACCCTCACCCAAGTCTGAGGCCGGGACGTTCATGGAAGCGTCTTCTACTTTCCTCCATGCAGAACTGACCTTGTTTTCCCCAAAGCTTTTCACTCCTCTTTCTCTCCCACAGCTCTTCTGTCTCAGGTCCTCTCACTTCCTCTAGCTTCTTCAAACAGCCTGTAATATCTCTAGCTGTCCCTCCCGCCCCTTTCTCTCCATTCTAGACTCAGTGCAGGAGATCTGTTAACAAAGAGCTTTCTGTCCTTCAAGAAGTGATCCTAGATCTCCCCTTTTTTCTATCTCCTCCAAACTTCTATCTCCTCCTTCACTAAATTGTTTTCTTTCTGTGGAAGAACTTAAGACATATTATTCTGTACTACAGTGGTAGCTAAAATAGATAGGACATTCACTTCCCCTGCTTTCTCCATGTTCCTTCCCAGACAGTTGCATTCACAGTCCTGCTTGTAGGGCAGAAGGCCATAGAAGTCTGGATCCCACAGCTACTTCAAGCTACTGCCTAGGAAAGTACCTGTCTTAAACTTGGTCAGTGCAATTGTCTGCCCCATGAATTCTGTCTTGTGATCCAGGCTTCAGTATGCTACCCGCGACTGGCCATGTATGCTGCTTGTGCTATGACAAGTTAAGAGAGGAGCTCGGCTGAAGCAGAAGGGTGGTTGGTCTTGTCAGGGCACTTGAGGGCAAAGCAACACTTGGACTGTCTTGTTCATTGAGTTTCTCATAGTCCTTCTTACAGTTTAACACCCTGGATTTTAGGAGAACCACCAGCTTCTCATAGTAATCCCCATTTTATTTAAATTAGTGTAGGTGAGATTCCATTTCTTAGAATCAAGTTGTATCTTTGCCATTTATATCAAGGTCTTTTATTAGTCAGTTTCCAGACCTGACTCTAGTTTGTTTACCTCTGCACTTCTCAGGTGGTACAGCACCTTACACACACTGAAGGCTGTCTGCTAAACTAAATGTATCCACTGAAGAGGAATATAACCTTGGACTTGAGTAATTAGTAACAATTTCACAGGCAGAAGAAGCTCAAGACTGTTCAGGGGAAAGACGCAGGCACAGGGAAGAAATTCAGGAGGAAGCCACTTAGCTAACCAGGTTTTTAGGCACTGTTTACGTGGAAACTGACCTTACACTCCACCCACTGCAACTACCACCTCATGCTCCTCATCAAAGCCTGGCAAGTATGGGGGAGGAAACCAAGGCCACTGTAGCACATCATGTGCAGAGTGGAAACCAGTGACCTCAGCTCCTAAAGATCAGTGAGTGACAGCCAGAACAAAACAGCCGGGGGCCACCAACAGCTCAACAGCTGCAGCCCTCACCCTCCGGCGACAGACAGACAGACAGACAGACAGCCTCTGAGAACTTCATTAAGGAAAGTCGTCGGGCTTTCTTTTTTCAAGTACATTTTATCTTCTCAGAAAGAATTTTGAAGGCACAGTTTTAGGAAATACAATTTGAATGTTTTTATATTACAAATGTAGACAGAAATCATAGCTTTTCATCTAAATATGATTTTTTTCAAGCTTTACTTTGGAAGTTATATAACACATGATTATCATTTTAGAATATTCTTTCTTTAGAACCAGTGAATACATTTGCTGTTTCCAAGGTCTGAATCCCTTTGTGGCTGCTGCTGCTGCTGCACTTAACTTGAGCCAAGGGTTCCTGATGAGATAAGGGCTCAGCTGTGCATGAAAAATATCTAAGGTCCTTCAGAAACCAGGCAGATTTCCTGACTACACCCTTAGTCTTGAATACTCAGGAAACGACCCAATCAAGCTTGCACAATGGGAGATGGTGGAAAGGCAGATAAAAGACAGCTGGATTTCCTGCTTTGACATGGCAGTCTTCCCCTGTCACTGTCCAACAGAGTACAGCAACGAATCAACAGGAGCAGGTGGCACAGCCATCATCAAGCCCTTTGATTGCTGGTGAGAAAGAGGCAAGCTCGTGAGAAGAAGAAGCTCAAGAGGCTGATGTCACTCTTGGATAATGAGTTAGGCTTTAAAACTGATGGCACTACAACCAGGTACTAGGGGGCAGAAAAGAAAGCACAACAGTTCCCGAGTGGCTCTGAGATGAGGGAAACTACTCCAATCTTCACATAACTGCAAAAGAGACATGGGGTGATGTTTCTTAAATTATATCAGTATGACAGACAGACAGACAGACAGATAGATAATAGATTTGTTTGTTTATTGAGACAGGCTCTCATTATATAGCCCTTGCTGGACTGAAACTCTCTATATATCCCATACTGGCCTTGAACTAACAGAGATCCATCTGCCTTCATTTTCTCAGTGCTGGGATTAAAGGTGTGGGCCACATTCGTGGCCTAATACACCGATTTGATTTAGTGTAAGTGACTAAGCATTAAGTACATGCAAGTACAATAAATCTAATCAAAGCAAAACATAGTAGCCAGTGGCCCAGAGGTCATTCACCCTAGGCTCTGATAAGCATAGGGCATCTCCAGGAGGATCTTAGACAGGCTGAATGATCACTAAACTGGACTACAAGTAAATGTCCAAACAGACTCCTCTACATTATATACTTATATTTTATTTTCTGTGATGCAAAAACTAGACACCATTATAAAGGGTCAAAAACATAGCTAACACAATATTACTTTTCTTTCAAAATGAATACTAGCTATATAAAAAGAAATAGGTAGAGCATTTATGAGACAGCTAGGTCCAGAAGATTCTTCAAACAAAATAAAATGACAGTCATTGATAGTCTAAGGACCATGATTTTTGACAGCATAATTTTCCATCAAAACATGGTACGCTTATTCTTCCTACAGTGGGGCAATTCTTTCTACAATGCCATATATGAATCTTGGGCATTTCTCAAATTGAAGATCACCATGAACAAACCCAACATCCAAACTTGTCTTCATGATATTATTAATGCAAAGAAGCCAGGATGCCCGACTCTGGTGGGACTTTTCCTATTTTAGCATGAGTTCTCAAAGGAGAAGACTGACTGTTGTTCCGCAGTGCCCAGGCCCCGGGGGTGTTTATCATACAGCAGCAGGAAGAGGCTCAGAGTGTATTTATATTTTATGCCCAAAAAATGGTGTTTGCCTGGTAATTCAAGCAATCTATAGGTGACCAAAGGGCAACTTCTCAAAGAGCAGGGCCAGACTGCCCTAGTGCTAAGGCTTTAGTAAAGAAGAAAGACCTGAAGTCCATCAGGTACTGCCCTGAAGCCCCACCCACACAGACTTCTTCCTGTGCTGTTCTGTCAAAGATCACCTACCCCAGGGCAAAATTACAGTCCTCCTTCCAGTCTATGATGCGGCAGATGAACAGTGTGTTGGCATAATCTTTAGGTCGGGTCATGAAGTCCTGAGGACAGTCCTTGAGAGGTACATAAATTCTAGGCACTCGGTGGTCTGAAGGAGAAAACAGGGCATATTTCTTAAACAGGTCACTGTTCTTATCAGCCAAGAGTTTGAGGATGCCAGTTGCTGCTCGGGAATGCTTTCTCTCCAAGATGTAAACCACCTGAAAACACAAAAGACAAAGTCATTGTTTCTCTACAGGAGAATCAGTCAGAAAGTCAACAGGATCTGATCAACCAGGTGGACCTACCAGCTTTGGGAGGTCACCATGAAGGGGCTCTCTACGGTACTCTGTAATTAAGTGATCTATATGTGAGTGGCAACAACTTAAATATTCATTGGGGGGGGGGCAAAGATCCAAGAAAAAAACCTATGGACTAGATGGATAAATTAGATGAAAATGCTTTTGATAACCACACCCTATGTCTTGTAAAGGTAAGTGTAGCCCAGCAGGATGGACAGCTCCAAGTTTCTTCTCTGCATTATACTTTGCCTGCATGAACAATAACAGAATTTCCCAAGAACAAAACTGCAATTGTTTTCTTTAAAAATGTTATTGAAGCCGGGCGGTGGTGGCGCACGCCTTTAATCCCAGCACTCGGGAGGCAGAGCCAGGCGGATCTCTGTGAGTTCGAGGCCAGCCTGG